TTCAATGTTCTTCGAGAATGATCAGAGCATTCAGCGCTTCCTCAAGGAGCATGGAGTAGAGGCGGAATCCTCCGCTTCGATAGAACCAGGACGTCGGACGAAGGGGCCTACATTTGCACCGCCTCCGATCCTACGGACCCCGAAGAAGGCCCTAAGGAGGCTCCACCCGCACAACTTCATGTGAAGCCGAGTAGGTTTCCCTGGGGAGGGCAATGGAAGATTCAAAAAGATCTTTGACATTTTCCATTCGAAAGTTTTTATTTAATTATAGAGCCATTCGAACCACAAGTAGAGCCTCCAGAGCAGACCGTCAACGAAGGGCATCCTGCTCAGTTCCGTTGTTGGGTGCCTGGTCACCCACGTGCTGTTCTGGAATGGAGCAGGCAGCACGGTGAACGTGGGCTTTTTTGTGGTCAAGGCTTGCATGGTTTTCTTCGGGAATGACCGAAAACTTTCAGCGATCTCCCGAGAGGCTTCGGTTATAGATGGTTACCTCCGTTTTAACAGTGCCACTACATCCGACGACGGGTACTATACCTGCACAGCCTCTGATCCTACAGATCCCGAGAGACCATCTCGTGATGCACCACCCGCACGGCTTCGTGTAAACCCGAGTGGGTTTTTCTGAACATTTCAGGCTTAGGGAAGGTGGTCAATGTTCTAACCCAGTTTAAGTTTCATTTCGATACACTCGAATTATTACAGCACCCTTTGAGCCGCAAGTAGAACCACAGGAACAGACCGTCAATGAGGGAGACCCGGTACAGTTCCGTTGCTGGGTGCCAGGAAATCCACAAGCCACCCTTCAATGGAGCAAACAAAGTGGAGAGCGTGAGGCTTTTCCCTGACCTGGTCGACCTCTATGATCCTTTTCATGGACGAGTGGAAAGTTCAGCACTTCCACCTGACACGATGGAAAGGGATGGCTACCTTCGATTCTACAATGCCAAGGCTTCTGATGCAGGAACATATATTTGCACGGCTACTAAACCCGGAGGAGGGGCACCTAAAGAAGCCCCACCTGCACGGCTTAATGTGAAGACGCGTGGGTTCCACAGAGCTTTTGCTTCTGGCTGCTTCAGCTAGTGCTTATGAGCATTTATTTGGAGTTGTGTGCTATTTTTGGGAGTGCAGTGGGCTTGGACAAATACATGCACGGAGCTTCACCAAGCGCTGTATCCAACGAATGGCTATTGTTTCAAATTCTCAGTGACACTTTTTTCAGCGCCTTCAGCTCCTCAGGTCGATCCTCCATCACAAACTGTTGACGAAGGCCAGCCAGCAAGCATTCGATGCTGGGTACCAGGAAATCCCAGAGCTCAACTCAGATGGACCAAGCACGTGAGTTGTCCTTAACCCACTTGTTATATGCCAAGGGTCCAAACCATTCCGTTTTAAGTACTATAATAAGTTTAATTCGTACCTAAATAAGGAAGAGGGAGCGGCGCCAAATATCTTCCACTTGATTCCCCAACGTTGTTACAGAGAGGGTAACCCAACGTTGTTACAGAGAGGGTAATATGTAAGGGAACGGCCTGCGTGGGAAGTCCCGTTACATAGTAGCCCCAGTGTATGTCGTTTGGCGCGGCTGAGCTGGACAACTCGTCCGAGTGATTCAACCTCGTGACCATACTAATCGATGCAAATAGACAGAATACAAGTAGGTCCGCAATTCGGCGTCTAATAATAGAGACGTCATCGGACGTATGTCAGCTGGATGGGCACTGGGTTGGCCGATTAGCATGGTCGGGGTGAATCGTCTGGACGAGTTGTCCAGCTCAGAAACCAACCGCGTCGAATGGGCGGCGATGCGAGGAACCGCGCCAGACTACCGCCTCCCATTCCTGCTCTGCAACAACATTCGGGAATGAACTGGTATGGGCATGCAGGGTCAGGAGTCAAGGCTCGGACCTTTATCTAACTGAATCGACCCCGCTCCCATTTCTTTCGGGTCCACAAGTGGGTACAACCGCCGCCGATGGATTCTAATCCCTGACGTGAACGTCGGCTACCCTCAAGTCAGTTTTCGCCTTCATCGAAGCCGGATGCATGGGCGAAAGAATAGCTGATTGAGCCACTGTAACTACCGTCGAGCCCCATGACTTTAACCCTTGAAGCGCACATTTTCCAAAAGCCCAAGGGCAAGATAGTCATCCCAGGCTTCCAAAATACTCTCAGGATAGACAAGCCTTTTACAGCTTGAGAATATTCCATTTCGATTCGTTGACAACTATCAATTCAGGGACGACAGCCACTTCCTCCTCATGCTCATGAAAGGGACGGAGTTCTTACGATTCCTCAAACAAGCAAGTCCGACGAGGGCCACTATGTCTGTACTGCTTTTGATCCTGAAACCAGAGTCCCAACAGATGCCCCTCCAGCTCACATTGGTGTTCGACAACGTACGTTTACTTCTCATATTTGCTCATCCTGATAGCCAATGTACTCGTTTTCAGCAACGAAGCTTCAACCACAAGTTGATCCCATAGAGCAGTCTATCCCTGAAGGATCTCCATTCCGTATTCNTCTGTACTGCTTTTGATCCTGAAACCAGAGTCCCAACAGATGCCCCTCCAGCTCACATTGGTGTTCGACAACGTATGTTTACTTCTCATCTTTGCTCATCCAGGTTGTCATTGCACTCGTTTTCAGCAACGAAGCTTCAACCACAAGTTGATCCCATAGAGCAGTCTATCCCTGAAGGATCTCCATTCCGTATTCGTTGTTGGGTTCCTGGTAACCCCCATGTGCAATTGTCGTGGAGACGGCCTCAAGGTGAAATCAACGACGATTCTACCCAGGATCGCGGCATTTTGACAGTCAATCGTGCTGAACTCACTGATGATGGTGAATATCTCTGTACGGCTGAAGATCCGAGAACGGGACAGAAGGCGGAGGCTCCTCCAGCTACTGTCCACGTTACGCAACCCACAAGAGTTCCTGATGTTGGAGACAGTGAGTTTTTCTTTGGAGCATTCCTCAGAGCATTTTCTGTAGCTCGACAGCTAGACACCTTTTTTCAGTTCAACGAAGGCCAGAGATAACTCCACCACAACAGACGGTACCTGAAGGCGATCCGGCAAGTATTCGTTGCTGGGTTGAAGGTGATCCACAAGCCCGTCTCACGTTCAAACGAGCTGATGGTGCACCAATACCGTTCGGTGCTTCCGATTTGGACGGAGTATTGGCCATAAGCAGCACGTTGAAGAGTGATGAAGGCGATTATATCTGTACATACCATCCAGCAGATGGAAGCACCCCCAAGGACTCTACACCAAGTAAACTCATCGTCGAAACACGTGAGTGTTTTCCTTTCCATGCTGCTGTGTCGTTTATTTACTCTCAATTTGGTAATGTAGTATATTTGGTTGTATTCAGCTGGTGAACCACCTCGACCGGTTGCCACACCACCGGTGCTTACCGTGAAACGAGGTCATACTGCACAATTCCACTGTGAAGCCAATTCACCAACTCCTGCTCAAATCAAGTGGGGCCATGGTGACGCCGATTCTGAGCTGCCAGACGGAGCCAACCATGAACTCGATGATATCATGATTGATTCTGCCGACGACCATCATGTAGGAGAATACGTTTGCTCGGCGACCAATGAATTTGGTACAGGAGTTGCAGAACCCGTTCAGCTTATCGTCGTCGATGGTAAGCTTAATTTTCTGATACCGTCGTTACCTTACAGGAGAAGAACCCGCCTATTTTCTGGTGCCTCCTTGAAGTCCGACATTTTGCTTTCCATTCTAGATGAACAGCCTCCAACAGCAAGAGTCGAACCGAGGGTCTGGAATGGAAAACCAGGAGATAAGCACCAGTTCAAGTGTCACGTCACGGGAGTGCCCACTCCAAAGGTCTGTTTCAGCAATTTGGGCCAGGTTCTGAAGATGGTAAATATTTACTGTAATTCTTTCAGGTGACCTGGTCTGGACCCAACAACTCACCTTTACCTCATGATGTGACAGAGTTAGAGGGCAATATTCTCGAATTCTCTAATGGACGTACGGAACTCAATGGAGATTACACTTGTACAGCTACTAACCCTGTTGGAGAGGTAACCTCCGAAGTACTTGATGATGTTTTCTGAGCAAAACCATGCTCTTTGGTTTAGGCTACTGACTACGGGTCGGTCAACATTGGGCCTTCACTGACAGTAAAAACCACCCCGGCTGGTCCACGACTCATTCTCACCGTAGGCGAACCTCTGTCAGTCAAATGTGAAGCGTTTGGAGAGCCTGAACCTGACGTAAGCATTGATGATTGGCAGACTTTGTTACGACTGACTACAACTTTTTATCACCTGCTACAGGTGGAATGGTTGTATGATCCTGGACCAGAGCGAGGTGACCTTCCCGATGACTACAAGCCAGTCACGATCTTAGAACAATTCATTAAACATCCTGCCATTGGCCTCGGCAATGCTGGAGCTTACACATGCAAGGGATCCAATAGTCACGCCACTGCCACTAAGAACATTTACGTCGAAGGTAAGTTAAGCGTCAGCCAGTACTTGGGCCACCTGAGCCCATTTTTCCGTTTTTGTCAATTTTTTGGCTGTGGCCGTAAACGTAGCAGCCAATTTTTGCAGTTGTCGAGCCATCTCGAGTCGCTACGGTGTCGATTCTGGGCGGATCCTCCCAATGGTTTGAGCAGGGCGAGTCATCTGAGCTCATCTGTACAGCTACTGGCAGTTCTCTCGTTGATAGACTTGAATGGGTCAAGGTAATGGCTCTGGGAGATTTACTGGTTTGTTACTCTCTAATTGCATCGCATACAGGTGGACGACCAGCTTCCAACCGACGTAGAGGAGCACAACGAACCCGGACTATTGCATTTCCCTAACTTCAAGGTCCGTTATTTTCTTGGTATTGCAAAATAGTGGCTCATCGAAGATGGTCGGCCTAAAAGAGGGGTAAAGGAAAAAAGGTCTGGTGAGAGGGACTGGGACCGATCTCTTGGTCTGGAATGCATCGTTTTTCCAACTCTTTTTGGGGCGCCATCTGGGTAACTGTTTTCAATCGCGAGTAAGTAATGACAAGAGGAGCGAGTAGCTCGCTGAGCTGTTGAACGGTTAGTGCGGTACGGTAGGGTGCCACCGTATACCGTAACACCCCAGAAACATCTATAACTCTCTTACCTTATCGATTTATCCGATAGGGCCTAGTTAAGGCTGGCGGAGCAGACAGAGGGATTGTATTCGGGCTGGGAACTGAAAACAGGGCTCACAGAATAAATCTGTCTTACAGAACTCATATGCTGGCGAATATGAATGTCGCGGTTACCGTAACAACGAGTTGATCGCCTCGAGTTCCGTCCAAGTGTACTCGTCCACTGATGACACTGAAGATGTGAAGGTGATTGATTTGTCCGGTTTTTTATTGATTAGATTTGAAGATTCCGATCCTTTATTGATTAGATCCCAAGGTTTCACATTAGGTGTGACATTCAGGTCGAGATTGAGCCACCACGTGTACGAATTGTCTCCCAAGGCGAAAATATTGTACTCAAATGTACTGTCCAAGGTAAGGACCTATAGGATTATCAAGTTCAGTCCGTTTCTCGTCGTCACTAACCTCAATGGTCAGTAATTATGTGTGCTGTCCTAACAGCCTTAACCGTTGCTTTAGATCCAAATAGACGAGTTGTCTGGTGGCGAGCTGATAATCTCACTGATGCTTTGATGGTTGGATCATCACAATTTCTTCACCTCCATAACGTCGATGTGTGTGATCGTGGAATATACTACTGTACAAATGACGACGAATACTACAGCTATCCTCACTCAGTTAACACTCTCATCGTTCTACAACACTCACCATTCGGTTCTGTTTCTTTGTAAGCCTATCTAACACTGGTCACGCTTTGAGCGACCCTCGCTCTCGCCCAAACGGGAGGGTCGGTCATTGTGATGGGACCATGCCCCCATAGGGAAAGACGCGGAAGTGTTCGTTGTTGGGCGGCTTTGGTGCTTCTGATAGAACTGTTTTTGTTGGCTTTTATCAGTTTTTCAACTGAAATCGCGGTTTACTAGTAACAGTGTGGTCTCTTAGTTCCAAATTGGAAAGGGCACTTAGTTTCAGTTGAACAGACACAGTTTTGGTTGATTACGGAGCTTCCCGGGCTGTCAATCTTTCATGAACTAAGTGAGAAATCGCCTGCATCATGGCTCTATTGATTTTTGGAGCCTTTTTTTTACTTAGATCGTTACCTTGAAGATCAAAACTAGTAGTGATTGATAGTAACGGTATGGTAACGCCGATGGCACGAGCAGTTCCACAGTACCCGTCCCAATCACGAGCACGTCCGCCTCTTTGCGAGATTCAGTTCTAACAAAAAGTACCCGTCCCAATCACAAGCACGTCCGCCTCTTTGCGAGATTCAGTTTTAACAAAAATTGATGTCAGTGTGTCGTGTGAGTTGTGGAGACTAACCGTGTCATATTAATTAACAAAATTAGAAAATACCAGTTGAGTACTGAGTTATGCATCTGCTGCAATTGTAACACGTACCCGTCCCAATCACGAGCACGTCCGGTACCCGTCCCAATCACGAGCACGTCCGCCTCTTTGCGAGATTCAGTTCTAACAAAAATTGATGTCAGTGTGTCGTGTGAGGTGTGGAGACTAACCGTGTCATATTAATTAAAAAAATTAGAAAGTATCAGTTGAGTACTGAGCTATGTATCTGCTGTAATTGTAGCACTAAGAAATTGACTCCTTTGAAGCATTATTCAGGCCTGGCTTTAAATCCCTTCGAGATAACCCAAAATGTGTCAGAACTTCCTAACAAAAACTCAGTTTTATGGCCACATTCCCATGGGGTATGAGCCGGACAATGGAAAGTAGGGCTGTGGGGCTTATGGTTTAGAACGAGGTTGATCAATCCCTCCTGATGATGCAGGGTTTCGATAGTTGCAGCGTTGAGCATTCGAAGACATACTTGGGAAAGGTGACTTGGATTAGTGATTTTGACACGGTGGATCTCTCCCCCTACCCTTTTCACGTTGCAAACTCAACCGCCAAGTACCACAGAGCCTCCTTTCTCTGTATGCCACTGGGAGATTTTCTTTAACAGGAGGAAACTTCACTATTAGGGTGGAGAGCCCGTGGGATACGCTTTCTTCCCATGTGCTCATCGTCATAAGGCCTATTATGGAAATTGTTAAAACCTTTTCTAGCAGTGGACTTAAGTGCTTCGATAATATTCTAACGCTCAATGTGCAGTTCTCACTAATAAGCTTGTAATTCTGTTTTCTTTCCGACAGCACCGTGTTCTGACACTTCGTTTCTGTTGTCCAACTAACCAATCTCTATTAGGTATCCATTCTGTCGTAGTCGACCTTTAACCCGATTTAGGTGCCAAGAAAGCCAAATTTGAATGGGCTCTGTTGCGAGGTGGAAACATTGTACGGAAATTGGGCAACGAAGCAACACTTGAAGTAAAAGGCGCTGATCCAACAAACGATTACGGAGTGTACAGGTGTAACGTCGAAGACGACAATGGCGTCGTCATCGGAAGTGCCTATACTGCCGTCAGCGTCGGCTACAGCGATCGAAGCAGTAGGCTATAGATCTTTCAGCAATCCACACACAGTCACAAGTCCAAAAACTTCTTCATCCCTAGAAATTCGGATTTGACTCAGTTCAACTCCCATTTCGGTAATTAAACCCTCCAGACATCTAATATTCATAGAAGGGGATTCTCAGGTTACGGATCGACGTTTCCCTCTTCAGTTTCTGATTCAGAATCTTGAAGTTGAAAGACTTGATTTGTTTATTCCCTTCCTCCTCTCTATTGCTAAACTTGACCTTTCCATCCTAATTTATAGTCAGTCGAGCAATTGAAAATGCTGGCTCTGCTTCAAATTCTAGTCCATTTCGAAAATTTTTCGATTTCAGCCCCTCACAACCAGTAGGGTTTCCGCAAGTCATTCGACACATTGACATTTTGGCCTGAAACTTGTTAAGTAGCTGAAAATGAAGGTTTGTGTTCTTCAGATGCTCAAGTGGTCAAGTTCGATGAAAAGTCCGACGCCGTCTTCACCTGCCCAATCTATTCCGTTCCTGGATCCAAGGTAGCTTCAAGCTGATACCGACATTGATAATATCCAAGAAACTCAACTCGTTATAGGTCGAATGGTCTCGAGTGGATGGTGATCTTCCTCCTGGTGCTCTTCCTAATGGAAACAGACTTGAGTAAGTTTTACTGAAAAGCTGGAACAGACTTCGAGCCGTCGTTAGCGGTAGTAGTCATTTTACCTGATAAGGTCTGAGGACGGATTTCAACCACTTTGATGCTTCCTTTGGGGAAAATTGTGACCTTTCTCGCTATAATTCTTACCTCATAGGCAAAAGTTTATCTTGAAAAAACGGCAATCTGGAGTGGAACGAGGAAATGCGGGAACTCGGAGGCGGAAATTCTGAGAACTAGCCTTTTCCCATCCTGGAAATTACTCCGTTCCTTCCTTACTCTGCTGCAGCCCCCTCTGTCTCCAACACTGAGCACGAGCCCGACCCTGTCTCCAGATCCCGATCGAGGCCTCTCAAAATTCAGAAGAAAATCAGATAGAACTGACTTCTTATTCAACTTATTGTTTGCCTTTTTTAGAATCAAAGATTTCGATGATTCGGCTGCCGGTATGTACATGTGCAAGGTGACCTTCGACAACCACGTCGTTGAAGGATTCGTCGATGCTCAAATATTTGGTCAGTACCCAAGACTTCATGCTTTGAAATTGTCTTAAGTGTCCCTTTTGTAGTTCCGGACACAATCATCCAAGTTCTTCTCGATGTTTCCTCGGAATCAGTCAACGTCGGTGATCGAGCGTGGTTCGATTGCAAGGTCAGTGGTTCATTTCTATAACGGGAGAGTCCATTCGTAGGTTCATTCTTCAAGGTTCTGGCTTATTTCAGGTAACTGGAGATCCAACGGCTGTCATTTCGTGGTCGAAGGAAGGAGCTGATGAGTTGCCAGACAACTCTCAGGTTAGCAACTTCTGTCCAGTTTGTGATTCTCATGACGTGATGGTTGATGCTCTGGGGAACCTTACCAACATTACGTCTCCAGTCCAGGTAGCCTCTCTGATCTAAGTTAGCTGTGGAGAGACCAGGTTGCAAAATATTCTGTGAGTCTAGAAGTAGTAGGGAGGGAGCTTCAGCGAGTTCCCATCCAAAGTGATACAATCGAGGCTTCGAAAGCTTCGAAGGCAATTTTCAAACCAAACTATGAGAAGAGACGTCTGGCCCTTCACTGGGAAAGTCGCTAAACCACCCTTTTTTTTTT